CCTTCCTTCCTTCCTTCCTTCCTTCCTTCCTTCCTTCCTTCCTTCCTTCCTTCCTTCCTTCCTTCCTTCCTTTCGTTTGGTCTTGTTTTAAATGTTGACAACCTTTCAACAGATTTTTCTTCAGAGTGTCTGAAATACATTCAGTATGTATCAAGTATCCTGCAGTTTCAAGCTTGTAGACATAAAAATAAAGTGTAAATTGAACATGTAGGAAAGGGGAAAACAGGTTACAATTTGAAACATTCTTCTTTTGCACACGTCAGGACTCCATGTTGTTCCAGTGGTTCTGCTCCCCCCTCTTTGTGTTGCAGTTTTCTTTCAGCAGAGTGAGGCTGATAGCTGCAGCTGCAGCACTGGGCTGTGACTGACCCGTTACATCAGTCTGAGCTGAGGTTCCTTGTTGGATTGTTAACGTCACTCCATGAAGTTCCCAGGTTCCTTATAGGTTCCTCCAAGAGTCCTGCCTTGGTCTTCATGGAAAAAGGAACATTTCCAACTGGAGCTCACCTCTGGAAACCAGCCTAACTTTCCACTTCCTGTTCCCTACAAAATAATGCTTAGTGTTTACGTTTCCAGACAGGTTTTGGTCTCACATTTTTGAAACCATGAGGTTAATTTACATCATGGAAAAGGATTCAATCTGTGATGTTTAAACTCTTCACTTCAGCCCATAAATTGCGGCAATTTTAGCTCAGTGGTCAGTGTGGCAGTGTCATAATCCTGAGGCTGAGGGTTTGAATCCATAGGGCACATGTGCCCCCCCCCCCCCCAAAAAAAAAAATTTAACTCAACATGAAATTTGTTGCTTATATCAATGGTAAAGTTTAAATTTATGGTTAAATGAAACAAACTGAATTTGATAAAAAATAAATGAAATAAAAATAAATTAAAAAAATCTGGTCCCTGAGCTGTTGGCTTGAAGTAACTGAGTAATTTAGTTGGACAGCTCAGTACTAATGTCTGAAAATAAGCTGCTTTAAAGTCACCATTAAACATAAACTAAATCTAACATAATGCAGCTACTCACTAGAAACTCATCAGTGAGTAAAACTTTGTGTTTTAATTTTAATAATATTTCTGTATTTACTGCAGATTCAGTCAGTCATACACTTAGTATCAGTGTTTAAAAGAGGACGTGTTAAAACTCTGTTTAGTCAAAGTTAAACTTAAAACATCAAAGTTCATCACAACTGGCCCTTCAGGGCCACCATAACGTTCATGTGGCCCTCGGTGAAAATGAGTTTGACCCCCCTGTCAGAAGGTGTTTGGTGTTAAATACCGTAATTGTCAAATCTTTGGTTCACTCACTGAAAAAAATCATTGAAAAAATGTATTAATCAGTGGGAAAACTGTAATTGTCAATAAATTAAAAGGAGCAGTTTGTATTTGTAGTCAGTGACTTCTGTTTGGCCTGGGAGCATGTTGGAGTCCCTCAGGAGGAGCTTTGAAAAAGGGTTTCTTCTTGGACCTGTTGTCTCCGTGACCGTGTGGATAGGTGGTAGAAGTTGAAGATGAAAAGTTTATTATTGTTTTTAAACATGACTTGAAAGTTGTGGCTGTAAGCTTTAAATGCCTGACAGCTGTTTGCTCCTCAGTCACCAGATCAGCCGTTAAGAGACGTTCACGCTACTTAAGCAAGTAGGAGAACCCAAACTATCAGTGTGGTTAAAAATTCCTTACATTCCTGATTTCAGTGAGTTAAAACCTTTAAGGCTGTGATCATTTTGCTATGATCAGCCTAAACCTGCATCACTTTTAATCACCAACACTTGTTTTGTTTTTTTGTTTTTTTATTTTCTGGTTTCAATAGTTCTACAAAAGACAGCGATGACTTCACTTCACATGAAACGTTAGAGCTTATTCTAAAACAGTGTTTCCCAAAGTTGGGGTCGGGACCCAAAGTGGGGTCCCGAAACATCRAGDTKGKGTCCTGAAAAGATTTTCTGAATTAATGACATTTTTGCCTTAGTTGTTACAAAGGAGTGAGGTTAGTGTATTTAAAATGGATAAATGTAGTATAAAAATATTGTCCATGTTTTGTTGACCTGATAAAAATGTTTTTCATCCAAAAATATCTGGGGGCTCAGGTCTCTGCTACTGTTATTTTGT